GCCGAGGACTTGGGAATTGCCCGAGGTGGGAGAGTTCATGGGATGCTACAGTATCCCACCAGTTAATAAGATCAAACTACACAACATACAAGTTAGCACCCACACCCATTGGAATGAATTTAACCCTAGTAAAACAATCAATGAAACATCAGGATCTAATAAAAATTGTAAAAGAGATTAAAAAGAATGGGCAGAGAACTCTAGTAACTGTCCATCATTACATAACATAAATAAACAGAGTCCTGCAAAGGGTAAAATAAGGCACAATCATAACTGGTGGGATGCACTATTTGGATGGTCACCAACTGCAACTGGGATCATGAATACTTTATGTCACCCCATTATAGTTTTATTAATTTTAGGTACTATAAGTTTAATGATGTCTATTTTAACACTCATGTGGAATTGGAGGATGTTGAGATGCGTGGCCATTTTGACTTCAATCTCTAGAACTCATGGAATCCTGCTGAAGGGGAACTGTCATGATAGTAGGTCAGAATTTAGATCAGGGCCCCTGTAGTAAAAGATTTTAATATATTTTAAGAAAAGGGGGGACTGAAATGGAGGTTTTGGGGGTTTGCCTAAGTTAGAAATATGAATGAAGCATTTCAATTTTAGCTTGTAGAATTGTGTGTTGAATTTTAGCCTTTTACTTAAGAAACCTCTGCCATGGTACAAAGGGCATAGGAAAATGCAAATTTCTGAAGCTTCTTGCAATAAAGAACAATACTGAGGGAAGACCAAGGAACGCAAGAAACCTAGATAAAGGAGCTCCTCTGTCTCCAAGCGGATCAAAATCGACAGGCATACTCAGATGAGCACCAAGGGACCAAAGCACACGAACAAAGGAGAAAAGTTCAAAAGTTCAATCATGAAGAAACCATGGCCTTCAGCCTCAGAGACCACCAAGAGACCCCTGTGTGACCACCACCTTGAACAACACATGCTCAGAAGGGCGTGGATCTAATTGCCATGCAAAGCAAGGACAGGCGAGGCCAGGGGTTGAATATGCATAAAAAAGCTGTGCAATGTAATGTATATGGAACACCTTTGTGAATAAAGATGTAGCTCAGACCAGGGCTCGGGACACAAGTTTTCATGAGAGTTATCTTGCTTGTGCCGGGCACTGACAATACATACACACTTCATAACTACATCAAGTTGTGGAGTCTATTTATTCCGCGTATCACTTCACTGGTGCAAAATACCCTCTTCCCTCTCTACTCCCAATTCCCTACCCCTCCAATCCCCTTCTGTCCTCTCTCCCATCCCTCCCTCTTTGCACCTCACGACATTCTCTCCCCTTTTCCCCCAACACTCCTTTTCCTTTACTCCTCCCCTCTTTACCACAACCCCCTCTCTCTACTTTCCCCTCTTGCCCTTCTCTTCAACCCCACACCCCTGTGCCTCTTCCCCTCTCCCTCCCTGTGAGAACCCCGGGATTGATTCAGGGGTCTCGTGTGGTGGTAAAGTCTCTCCTCCAACCCGTGCTTCCAAAGAAAGACTCCGCAGCCTCTTGTGGTTTGGTCTCAAGGCAGTTTATTGCTAGCTATCTAAAAGATTGTCTTCGCCCGCTGCGGCTGCCTTGGTCAGCGGCCCAGGCAGAGACACACACTCTCCTGACACCCTCACTGTCCGGTGTCTCCGTCGTCTCTCCCGCCCAAGGCTGCTGCTATATCTTTTATATGATATATTACGTATTATATGTTTACAGACTTTCCCCAATACCTACTACCTATGTTACAATGTGCTCTTCTACTCTAAACCAATCTGTAAATGCCAACATCACCAAGAACATGGAGGTAAGGAAGAAGAAGGAGGAAGAACAGGATCAGGCCCACTTTCCTCCATCTTAGAACTCCTGACCCCCATGTACAAAGTAAAACCCCCCTGTACAGGTGTTAAAACCCCCTTGTACAATACTAAAAAATTATTCCCTCTAATTTGTGACTACTTTTACTATACCATCTAACTCTCTGTGACCGCTTGTTCCACCTTCAAAGTTGGTAACTCATTCCATGGTTCAAACTTAAAATCACAGCTGTTTTCAGCTGCTTGCCAGGGTCTAAAACGCTTCTGACCAAGGCCTGGAACCTCTGAAAATGTCTGAGGGACATTTTGAGTTCCGACACCTCCCCTCTTACTTCCCTCCATTCTCTCCCCCTCTCACTTCCTGTCCACCTTCCAACTTCTTCCCATTTTCCCCATCTCCTTCTTCCTCTTAGACCTCTCCCCATCTCCTTTTCCTTCCCCAACCACTCCTCCCCCACCTGATTGATTATTCACCCTCCCATGACAGGTGGTTTAGAATCATATAATCATTTAGGTTGGAAAAGACCTTTAAGATCATCAGGTCCAACTGTCAACCCAGCACCACCACCATGTTCACCACTAAATCCATGTCCTCAAATGCCATACCCACGTTTTTTGAACAGTTCCAGGGATGGTGACTCCACCACTTCCCTGGACAGCCTGTTCCAACGCTTTACAAACCTTTCTGTGACTTTTTTTTTCTTAATATCTAATCTACCCCCCCCCCCCCCCGTTGCAACTTGAGGCCATTTCCTCTCATTTTGTCACATGTTACCTGTGAGAAGAGACCAACCCCCACCTAGCTACAACCTCCTTTCAGGTAGTTGAAGAGAGTGATAACATTTCCCTTGAGCCTCCTTTTCTCCAGACTGAACAACTCCAGCTCCCTCAGCCAGTCCTCATAAGACTTATGGTCCAGATCCTTCACCAGCTTCATTGCCCTTCTCTGGACACGCTCCAATGATGTAGGGAACCTATAACTAAACTTATGCAACTATAATTTGCTGTGTAATCAAGTGTGTTAAGAACAGATAATCCATTGCTATGCAACAACAGGATTTCACCTATAGTTTAAGACTGATAAAGTAGGAACTAGTGCTCTAAAAACTGGTAAAAGCTGGATCTTTAGTTTGGACTGTGGCCAGAAGCCTTGAAGGATGAACAGACACCAAGAGAGCCTGCGCAAGGACTAGGTTCTTCCAGAGGGCATTGTGAGGATGACTATTCACTTCATCCAGCAACCCCTGCCCGAGACCACCAGAAGATAGCAGAAGATAGTGGGCAAGCAGAACGATGAAAGGCTGATTGACATACAAAGTGAGAGTAGGCGGGATAGGTCATGAATATGTATAGGTGATGTTGAAACTTTCATGAATACTATGATCTTAAGTGTATATAAACAGAGCATCTGCTCTGTTCTGGTGCACACATTTTTGGTGGAACTACTCCCCCCGTGTGTCCAGCGCTGAATAAACATACCTACTTCACAAACCCACTAGTTGTGGAATCTCAGTTTCCACGTCACCAAAACCTCAATGTCTTTCTTGTAGTGAGAGGCCCAATACTGACCACAATACTCGAGGTGTGGCCTCACCAGTGTGGAGTACAAATGGACAATCACTTCCCTGGTCCTGCTGGCCACACTATTTCTGATACAAGCCAGCATGCCATTGGCCTTCTTGGCCACCTGGGCACATCCTGGCTCATGTTCAGCTGGCTGTCAACCAGCACCCCTAGGTCCTTTGCAGACAGACAGTTTTCCAGACCATCATCCCATTTTACCATTACAATTTCTTTTCTAGACTAATGTCTTTTTGCAAAAGATAAAAAGTTGTGGAGAAAGCAAATAGAATTCTGCAAGTCACAACCTTTTTCTTTTTCATCATTCTTTATAAGGTTCTGCCTCTTCCCTTCCCAACTATCAGGCTCTCACTTCACTGACAGTAATCAGGCATGCTGCTGTTACCTTAAACCTCTTATGAGAAAGCTCCTACAGTAGTCAGGAGCTGTGCAAGGTTTGGAGCTCCCCCTCTCCATTCTGAAACACACATCCCTCTCCTTTGTAGCCTAATACTACTAAGAGGCAGAATGGGGGAAAATGCACAGAGAAGTATGGGAATATCCCACTAAAATGGCTTAGTTCACCTATGACAAATCAGTATGTTACTGTGGACGCAAGGTCTCCCACTCTTCACCCCTCAGCACTTTGCACCCTAAGCAGAAACACTGAAAATTATCAAGACTAGGTAAAACCCACACATGTGCAATACGGTAGCTGTTGCAGGCAGGCCGGCATTTACCTTCCTCAGCTGATTAAGAAGTTACCCAAGCACTCTCAGTGTTTCAGGAGTCAGGCAGCCAGGACGGGGCAGGAAGCATCAGAGCATGTGTCACTGCCCGCTACATCTCCCTAAATGACAGAGAGGGCTTTGCAAGTCACACTGGAAAGGAGAGGGAATGGGAAGTACCATGAACCACCTCGCTGAGCTAATCCCCTTCCTCAAGGCTGCTGTCGAGTTGCTGTCATTTCTTGCTCTCTGGCGTCTTTGCTAGGGAACGAGGGAGACCTCCGTGCACCCGCAGAGGCGCAGCCTCACCACTACAGCGGTGTGTTCTACAACAGGGACAAGCAGGGGGGCTCTTCTCTCTGCCTCCTGCGGCACATGGGGAATTGTCAGAGGCCAAAATGGTGAAGGAGGCCGTGTCTCTGATGAATGCAAGGAGAAAGCAATATCTCATAATTTAGAGGAGGAAGGGGAGAAACCCATCCAGTTACACGTAACTTTCTCTGCGCTGGGTGGTGCCGATCCTCCTTTCTATTGACTGCGTACTTACTCTTCCTTCCCGTTTGCAGTAGCAGTGGCTATCGGACAGAGAAGGAATGAAGAAAAAAGAGAGAAAGAACTAAAAAACCCAAAGAAACAGGTAGAGAAGGAAAGAAACTGTGAGACCTTGATCTTAGGACGGCAAAGAACTGAGGTGTGCGAGTAGTCTGTTTTTACAGCAACAACAGAAGAGGGAATAGAGGTGGGAACTCAGGGAGCGGGTTGTGAATTAAAGCAGCGGAAGAGGAAGAGGGGTCTACGATTCACTGTATCGTGGCGCCTGGGAAGTCACTACTGGTGGATCCGCCTCCCCCCCCCCCCCCCCTCCCCGGAAGGAGGGAGGAAGAGAGAGAGGGAGGTGGAGAGACACAGGCCGGCCGGCCGGCTGGCTGGCTGGCTGGCTGAGGCCGTTGAAACAAATACCTATTTGCTTCACCACGCCCGTCCCAGCCCCCCCCCCCCCCCCCCCCATTTCTTTCTCTTTTTTTGTTGCTTGTTCGCTTCGCGTTTGGGGGTTGGTGCGTAAGGCGGGAGGGATCTGGCCTAAAGCGACGCCTGAGCAGCCCAGCGGGAGCCTAGGGACAGGCCTGGGCAGCAGCCTCCACATTAGGATGTCCCGACATGAAGGTGAGAGACCCACGACCGCGGTGGGGGGTAGGGGGGGGGTGTCCTTGAGCCCCGTACGGCCTCGCTTGCCGCTGTGTGAGGCGGGTCAACATGGCGGCACCGTCGCTGAGAGCGGGGCCTGTGGAGTTGGTCGCGAAAAGTGGCCATAGTGGGAGGAGGAAGGCGGCGGCCAAGCCTTACTTTGTAGTGTTGCGGGAGGGGAGACCGTGGTCGTGTACTTTATGGGTAGCCTCTGAGTCCTTTTTCTGTCGCCACTAAGGACGCACGCCAGGCCTGTGCTTGCTGAGGTTGAAGGGCCTACTGCAGCTTGAAGTGGGCCTGGTCTCTGCCACTCCTCACTAGCCCGCGACTCGGGCCTTGCCTCGCCCCGGACAAAAGTGTGTCTGAGGCAGATAATAGAGGCTAGGAGACAGAAGAGCTGTTTATTTTCAATTCTCTTAGTTTTACTTCAGTGTTTGAAAGATGAGCCTGAGAGGTGGGCCTGAAGGAATCTGTTTTGGGGGAAAGGAAGAAGGTGTGTGTGGGGTGGGCATCAGAGTGGCTTGCTGATTGTGCCCTGGGAGTTCTGAATAGCATGATGTGAAGGGAGAAGGAGTGCAGAAGAAGAGGGGGTGGGCTTGGCATGATATGCTCCCTATGAGGGGAAGTACCCTCAGGTTTCTTAGGGTATGGAGGAGGAGGAAAAGGTATTGTGGGGCATAAGGCTCGGGGAGAGCAGTGCTTGGAGGGAGGCAATGCAAGAAGGGTGGCCTGGCATCCAGGAGAAGTGGATTGGGGTGTGGTCTACTTGGGTATAATGAAGATGAGGGAGGGGATTGCACGGTAGGTGTAGAAGGAATTTATGCAGGTAACTGGCTGTGGTATTGGAAGAGTTTGCCTTGTTCAAGTGTAGTTTGTATTTTGGTAGCTTTGTCAGGTTGAGAAGTAATGTATTCTTTTCAAGTTTTGTATTTAAAAAGAGGAAGCATGCCAATCTAGTAGCAGCTTTTGTAGATGTCATCATCTAAGTGTTTTGTGTGCTTGTCCTTGTTCTTTTTTTGGTGGATTTTTCATTGTTTTTTTTTTTGTTTTTTTTTTTTTTTGCTATGGGTATATGAAGGGGATATTTAAGGATTAATTAAAAAAATGAGAATGGGAAGAAAAATGAAAGAAGGAAATTTATGTAGAGAGGAGTTATCTGTAAATAAATTTGCTAGGTTTTCTACCCCTTTTTAGTGGTAATTGCACTAATAAAATTATTATGTAGAAGTTCTGCCTTATATTTTGAAAGGATAGTTTTGGCTCTGTTAGGAACTAAATTTAGCACCTGTCTCCATACATAATTTTGATTCTCCTAGAGCTGTTAGAATAATCATTTTAAAAGGAATTGAGATATCTTTATTTAATCTTGATGTTTTGAAAGCAATGTGCTGGAAGACTTCAATTTTTGGGAGTAATACTGACTTCTAGATGGAGGATTGGTATGATGGCTATTTGGTGTATAGCTAGAGCATTTTGTTAGTGTGCGTGCTTGCCTAAGACCAGACTTGCCCAAATCTACTAACCCTTTCGTCTAGTAAAGATACTAAACCCTCTTGTTTCTTTTCTGATTAAGATGTGGTTTATTGTGTGTGGTGTTTGTTTTTGTTGGTGTGAATGTGGGGTTGGTGTTTTTGTTTGGGGTTTTTTGTTTTTGTTATTTTTTGCTGCTGTTGGTTGGTTTTGGGTTTTTTTTTCTAAAGAGTGTGTGATAATTCAGATAATGAGGCAAATGTGAACAAGAAGCAAAATAAGGTTTAATAAAAAGGTTTTGTGGCTTTGTTGAAAAAAGTACTTTGCAAACTGCTGCTGTGATAGATATCCATGGTATGTGATTTAAAGCAGGGTAGTAGGATGTGGGCTTGTTAGATTACACTGGTTAAAGCCACAAAGATAGTATGATGTGTTGCGATGTTTTATTAAAAGAGAATTAAAAAAAATGAGTTCATGATTGATAGAGGTTATGTTTTGATTTTGTTTTGTTTGGTGTATGTTTTGTTTGCAGTGCAGGGAATAATGTTTTTCTTAGTCTTATCAGCAGAAATTTAAATGTGGAAATAATGTTAAGTGTGGTTTTGTAAAAAATTTGAAATGGGTAAATTGGTGTCCTTTGAAATTGCAGATTTTTAAAAATGAAAATAGTTATCTTCTAATAAACCGTTGATGGCAATGTTACATTGTTGACATAAATAGCCTATATTAGGAAGGAGAAACCTCATCAAAGCTGAAAGGATAAAGCTGCAGCAACAGTTGTACTTCTCTGATAGATTTTATAGGAACCTGGTTGTCTTGAATTTTCTTAATGTTTTTCTTTTATTCCTCATTTAACATGTCAATTATATATTAGTTATAAAATTAGGATAAGTTGCCTTGATATAGGGTCTGTGGTTGGCTCAAAGTTATCAATCTGTAAGATGATGGAAGTTGTTCTTGCAAGGATAAGGTATAGGAGAAAAGTGAGCTTCAGACATGTTAATAAATTGTATCACTGCTCTGTGTTTTTTTGTCAAAATGGCTTGGTTTGCCAGAATCAGTTTTGTGATGGAGAAGGGTGTGTTTGAGAAGATAAATGCTGGAGAACTCGGAATCCCAGTGTCTCAGGCCTCTTAAATAAGTATCTGATGGAGGTATAAGCTTACTTTTAATCAGGGTCTCTTGGTGCTTTCTTTACTTTGTGGAGAGAAATTAAGTCCTGCTGTGATACGAAGTTGGTTGGGAGACAGGAAAAGAGAGAATAAATTTAACTGGTGACCTTTTGCCATTGACTGCTGCATACCTTCAAAAGTGGAACGGGTATAGAACTGGAGAAATTATCCAGAGAGTGGAGGATGTGAGGAAGGGGAATAGTGAGACAGAAATGTTTGCAAATAGGACAGTTATTTGAACTGGAGTGATTAGGTCTTCCAAGAGACTTTAGAAAGAGCTAATTCTCAATAATGAGTGACACAAGGTGAGCGAAATTAACTTGTGTTGAGAGGAAAAGCAATATGGAAAAATTAAATTTTTGTGTACCTTAGTGTTTACTTCACTGGTATCAACTTGGGAAAGGTTGTGGGGTATCAGTGTAGATAATCACGCTTGTTTTTACTGCTACTGTGTTTATTGGTGAGATATGAAAAATGTTACTGCATTCAAGAAGCTGTTCAGAACAGCAAGGTTGTCAAGTTGAGTACTCAGGAGTTGGGATGTGCCAGAACTAGATTGTGCAGAGAAACCTAATTCAGCACTGTGAAATTAAATAGCCACATATTATCTTTGTTGTGCTCTGCTGTTATGGTTTGACACTGGCACAATGCCAGTGCCCCCCATGAAAATGCAATTTCTTAACTGAATGCTGTGAAATGTGATCGAGAGCAGAGCAAAGCAGGTCTAAGCTTAATAACAAGAAAAAAACTTTACTAAACTACTACCACTATGCTACTATAAAAGAGGGAAAAAAAAAAAAAAAAGAAAGAAAACACACACAATTCAAAATGAAAACCTTTTAAAGCATTCCTCCTCCCACTACCCAACTCTAACAAACCACAGTGAGACACAATCTGGAACCCAATCAGGTTTCTACCTTCCAGATAATTAACACCCAGTTCATCTGCAGGGAGAGAGGAGTCTCTCTTGTGCCACAGACCCCCCAAGAAACACAGCTGCCACACTCTGTGCTTTCATGTCACTACATGGCACCGCCCGGAGAAAAAAAGTTTGCTAGTGGTGACCCTCTCCTTTCTATGCACAGTGCTCTCACTACTAATGCATGGATGGACAGACTGCTTTTAGGATTTTTCTTTTCAAGGATGCCCTGCCAAGAGGGGAAAAAACAACAGTTCAGTTTTTCATTTTTGGGACCAACAGTCCCCCCCATTTTCCCCTGGGGCCGAGGATCCACAGAGATCTTCTCTTCTTCCTCTCTGAAGACAGGGGGCACCACTACAAACTTCTTTAACTTTTCTTTGTTCGCTCTACTTCTGTCTTTTCCCAGCTGAAGCAGGTTTCTTGGGCTCACCAGCATCCTCTTAAAATACAGTCTCTCTTGGAGGAGAAGATCAGTTCAATCTGTGGCTACTAAGGAAAAGTCCAGCTAAACAGCTACTCTATCATCTCCTCCCACCTAGAATTTCTTCTTCCAACATCCCAGGTCCCAGGCTGTCTCTCTTCCTCTTTTTTTCAAACCAAGGAGGAGAAAAATTTCACAAAGCCTTTATTTTTTAGGAAGGGTTAAAAGTCCCGACTCCCAGAGATGGCTTGCTGCCCAGGCTCCAGCTCCTACAGCCCGGCTGGGCACCTTGCGGCCCCCCCGCTCTTCTCCTTCCCCGCGGCGAACTGCTGATAAAACCACCGCCGTCTCTTTTTCTCTCTTGGGAGAGAGAGAGACTCTGGGGGGAACGGAGACATCCCAGATTTTCTCCACCCTTCCATCTGCAGGGGGCTAGCCTGGTTCCAGCTCCTCCACCCTTGGGCCTACCTCCGAAGGCTACATGGCTTCTCCCCTCCCCCACCCAGCTCGTGGCCGGGCAGGGGAGAGTCCTGCACTGACCGCTGACCGGAACCCAAAGAGAGTGAGTTCTCTTGGGAATTCTGCTTTTAACCCCTCTGTGTTCTCAGAGGCGTGTCTACCTTTAATTGGTCAATGTCTAAATTGACTTCTTCTTTCTGGAAAAATTTTTTTTCCGTGTCAAACCACGACCACCTTATCAAAGGTGTAAAGGGAAGGAGACTTGTATGTAGGGGAGTGTCCTAGTTTAGGGCAAATTTGGGGAAAACCCTCTGGAAGGAGCCCCCAGAAAACAAACCCCCACGGCCCCTCCCCACCCACCTGGTACGGGAAAAAATTTTCTCTGAGAGAAGCGGAAAAGAACCTGTTTATTCAATGAACAAAGCACCCCCCAGCACCAAAAAGAAAATTAACAACACCAGATGACAACAAAACTCTTTCACCCCTCTGAAGAGATTAACAAATCCAGAAAGTCTTTCCTGGGAGTGGTCGCCCG